CCCCCCCCCTGGTGCCCCGGTAACAGACCTTATTCATACTGTGTAGTTCTAGAAATTATCCATACCCCCCTCCCCTCTTCCAACAGAGGAATGTGGAATTTCCTAGGGGTAGGGGGGTCAGAGAAAGAACAAAATTACAGAATTTGTATGGAACAAAATTTGTATTTCTGGGGGTAGGGGGGTCTGAAAAAAATTCCTCCATGCAGGGTGGGGGATGGTTATATATAATTTCTGGAACTACACATTAATGCAAAGTTTTCCCATTTCAAACAACGTGTCATACCTTTGAGAATAAAATTTTTTGTTTGAGTTGTACATCACAGACAGGTAGCCCAGCCTAGCTACATCAAAAATAATAAAAATCTCAATAAAATCCTCAAAATGTGAAATAAAGTAAATAAATTTTAAGCTGACCTTTGAAAAGAAGTACATCTTTTGCCTGCTGTGGTTAGCTTTTGGATTAAGCCAGTTTTGATGTGTATTTTTTTTTTTGTGTGGGGTCAATGGAAAATCTATAAACCACGCAGTTACAACAACAGTTACAACAACAGTTACAACAACAGTTACAACAACAGTTTTTATTCCCACAAAAAATATATACATACATAAATTGAATAAGTTACAAATATTGTGGGGGGTGCAAGAGAACAACCCCAGAGGTTAAACAAGCTCTTACACCCTTAATACAAAAGTGAGTAATATTTACATATATGTAAGATGGAAAGAATCATATATAGTACACAGGGAGAAAGAGGTAATACTTTTCAAGGTCAGCCAAGATTTATTTACTTTATTTCATATTTTCTTGATGATTTTATTAAGGCTTTTAAGGATCATCATACATTTACTCACAATATGATCACACAACAGAAACCTAGCTTGGGCCACCTGTGGTAAGTATTCATATCCATGTGTCTTCTCATGCATGCACACAGCTGTCAAATGAAGAAATGATAATCTGGGAATGACACGTGGTCTGTAATGAGAAAAAATTGCAGTCCTTAGTTGATTCATGGTTGTCAAAATACTATTCAGCAAACGAGACAACAAACTCAAGTTGGTGGGTCGCACTTCAATGATAATGGTAGTACCGATTGTGGTTTTTATTATGTTTGAATGTTTCTATTGGAATGTTGTTGCATAAAAAATGATAGACTGCAGTGAAGTGATGTATTGTAAATCAGCAACCCCAAGATAGTCAAAATAGTCTAGCTCTCTGTCTACAGATCACATTTAGCTTATTAGACTGTAACATTTGTACTTAAGTACATGCAACCCATTGAACTCATTATCAAATCATAATGAATAACCTAAAGAGACTGTCATGATCCCCTATGTCATATATCATCTAATTTGAAGGTTACTATTCAAGTAGTTTTGTCAAACGTTTTCAAACTTAAAAGTTCATCTTCAGGACTAAACTAATTACTAATAAACTCCTAATTAGCAGATTACAACCCAGTCTAAATAAACAAATTCTTGACGCTTTTCACCTAACACTTTTCCCTTATGGGATAACTTAGCATAGTTGACTTGTATTTATGATAATTTAGTTTGGTCCTGAAGATGAACTGTTAAGTTCATATATTTAGAGGTACCCTTTAATTAAATAGGTACACAGGTATCCCATCACTTAATTTTGTCTTTCCAGAGGACTGATTATATTATATTATATAGTTTACAGAGTAAACTATTTATAAAACGTATTAAAAAACAATATTAAATTGTGAAAGTATTTAAAAATTATCCAAATAATACCTGGTTTGCAAAATATACCTTAAATAATTCAATATGTAAAGGTTTTTCCTCCTATTGGATAAAAACACCTGTCCGCCATTGTGAATATTACATACGACCGGAAGTTGCAAAGTATTGTGGGGTGCATGGAAACAATGTTAAAAATTAACTTTATGCAAATTCATACACACTTGATGTTCTGCTGCTTGATGCTATTCGGTGTATGTTGATCTAAACGCTGATTAAGGGCTTGGATTGGCTTCAGCATCAAGCTAACTGCTAAAAGAACTCCAAAATAATCTTTCATTGGCAATTTCATTTACTTAGAGTTCTATTAGTTATCCTTAATCGCATTGTGAACCACATTTCTATTTGAATTTCTCGTCCTTGAACCATGTTTACTATTCTGCCGGGTATTCTGGTTGCTTTGCTCTACCTCGGCGTCTCTCAAGGTAAGAAAACAGTTAAAGATATAATTTTAGATTTATTTATTCGACTTCAATGTATTAGCTTGGTTGTATTTCGTCTATAACCAGGAGAATTTGACCCCCAAGCGATTACTAGCTCATATACAAAGCTAGCGATTTCAAGACGTCCTGCTTCAAGTATGACATCATCAATCAGTAATGATGAAAAGGTAAATTTGCACCGTGAAAAGATGAAAAAACTTACTGACGTTTCGGACGCTAGTCCTTCGTCGGAGTAAAAGAGAAGAAGAAGGACTAGCGTCCGAAACATCAGAAAGTTTTTTCATCTTCTCACGGTGTATAATTTACCTTTTCATCACTTACTGTTTCATTAGAAACACCGACGCAGCTCGCACTAGTTTTTAGCTAGTTCTATCTTCTTATGACATCATCAGTATTCGAGGGATTATTCTCCTCTCAGACTTTTCTGACAGCGACTAAAAGTATTACTCAGTAAGGAGTAATGTATATTTTCTGTCTATGTTTGTAAATATGAATTATGGTATCCGGTCGTTCCGCCCGATAACCAATTCGCCCGATGGGCATGGCTTGTAACATATGGCTATTTTCAGTTTGGCTATTTTCAGTTTTAGTACAGCATGTCATGTCTTCCTTCCGTCCGTAATAATTCAAACATTTACTACCATCCCCAGAATCCCAGGACCATAGTTAATGGAGTTATAATGCTAGGACTATCACTGGTAGCCCAAGCTGGCTATTAGTGTTGATTTATCGTCAAAATACAGTAAAGAATAAAATTCAAAAATTCATACGAATAAAGGTCTTACCTTTATTTGTATGAATATTCTACCTGTGAATATGAATAGGGTTACCTGTGAAACTATTAGTGCGTAACGTTGTTCAAATCCCCATCGAACATACATTTGCTGCAATGCCTTATTACGTAAGAGTTAATTACCGAGAACGGAGGCAATAAGCCATATACATCCCGAGGGCCGTACGCCTGAGGGATGTATAGGCTTATTGCCGACGTTCGAGGTAATTAAGTATTTTATTTATCAATTGAGAAGGTTTCTATCAAATGTTGCTCATTATAAATGCGAACGGTCTATATATAGTTATTAACCGGGTTAATAACTATATATTGACCTCGCATTTATAATGAGGGTTATAACAAAAATGAAGCCTTGTGAATAACAAAGAAAACCGTGTCAATTGAGAAATAATACGTAGTATTTCCACTTCACATAATCTCCAAACGAATAAACGTGGATAAACTATTCGCTAACTGGATGTCGGTTGTGTGGGTCATATAGTAACGTGCAGTCGGTTTAATTTCTACTACTTGTAGTAAAGTAATCCCCCGTTCTTCAGGACAAAAGCTATCGGGCTAAATAAATTCATAGTATCTTGGTTATGGTCATTGAATGAAGATTAAGACGTCCATTAAGACACAAAGCGATTATTTAGAAATTATAAAATTACGAACGGGCTAAGATACAAAAGTATTTAACTTATGATTTCGAAGAAAGACTATATCCAAATCCAATCCGCATTTACGATACGAAGACTTCCGGCGTGACCTCGGGTCGGTTGCCGAAGGAAATCCGTTAAACAGGTGTACAGTGAGCTCCAAGTACGGGTCAGAACAAGCGAGGTAGTATGTGAATACAGGCAAATTTCATGGCTTAAAGACACGAAGACTAATCTCTAATGCGACTTTCTCGGTTCTATAGGGATGTGAGAGAAGGGTTATGACTAAAATTTGGCGCTGGATGGTTCGCTTTTGGGACTCGAGTGGTGGGGGACAAAATCCTTAAAACGGGCTAATTTAAAAAAATAACCACGCAGAGCGAAAAAAGTGCTATTTCTCAATGATCGGGTATAATTTCGAGGCTTTATTTCACGTTTCAATGATTTTATTGAATTTTTGATGAATCCCCATACATTTCCTTATAACATGACACCATAGAAACCAAGCTTGGGCTACCTGTGATTCGACAGACCAACGCACTCCCAACTAGTATACACTAGCATTTATAGGTAGACTATTGATGGATTGCAAGCATTCCCAAGAGAGTCAAAAGGCAAAAGCATTCCGGCCATTGTGGTGCCGTTCACAATGGGTGCTAATGAGAAATCTTTTGTTAAATGGCACCAACATGGCCGCGATGACGTAGCGTGCAATCGAAGAATATAGGAGTGTCTATCTAGCATATCTTTATTTTCGACTGTTACGAAGTCTGAATATATAATTTTCGAGTTTTCTAGACATATGGTCCAGGTACTGTATTCATGTTGGCCAGGTAAACGTACTATGGCTAATAGTCTGCATTTATTACTGAAGCATGATATCAATAAAAGAAAATTACGTACGGTTTTGAAAAAATAGTAGAACATTAACTGCCAGAGATTCCTGGGGACCAAGTAAACATTTTAGAAATAGCGCAGATATAATTTTATTATTTTTAAAAGAATAACCTAATTTGTTTTGGAACCACAGTGGTGAAATACGACTCATTAGCAGCGTACGCCACCCATGCTATACTATACGTAACTTCCCATAATAAAGAAAGTAACTCAGAATGATTTTATAGTCAGTATTTTACTGATAAAAGCAGATATAAGGACGGTGGCGGATCCATAACGATTTCAAAGGAAAAAAAGACTTTATTGTCGAGCGTTTTAAAAATAAGCCTCTGTCTCGGAACTGATCGGGCGACCATTTTCTACATTTTTGTCCGTCCGTCCGCTTGTCTATCCATTCTTACATTCATTCATTTACTTTATTCATTTCTTTTTTAAGGTGCCATGCCCTCTGCCACGAAAAGCAAATACGAAACGTACCTAAAGGAGTTTGACAACCAACGAGGACAAAACCCTGGTAACGCACAATTCGAAGCCAATAAAAAAGGCGCCATTTTGTTTATGAAGTCCAAGTTTGAAGCTGCTGGTCTGACTGTTCATCTGCAAAACTTCTCCTCGACTGACACGAACAATGGGAAGGTGAGTATAGTACATTGGCAAAGAATGAGAGGAAACAGAGCTGCCTACTAAAATTGAGGTCTGTGTTTTCCATTTCGATCTATTATTTGTGACGAAAAAAATGACAAATGTCGTAAGAGAAATGCTGTATTTTTCCTGTTGGTGATATTGCTGATGGGTTTCCTGTGGTTTCGGCGGGAATGTTCCCGCCACAACGCGCTTGCCATTGGAGATCGAGACGTAAATTTTTTCTAAACCTTATATCAACGATATACCGATTTTCCAGGCAGTAAATGGTACCAATTTGATAGCCGTACTACCAGGACAAGCATATAAAACTGCTCAAGATGAAGTGGTTGTTCTCGCAGCACACGTAGATACGTATGGAACTGGTGCTGGAGGGGTGAACAATGACGGTACCGGACTGGTTGGATTACTTGCTATTGCTGAAGATCTAGCAGGTAACAGCTGTCATGACGATGTATATTTTCTTCTAATTTAATTCTAAGCACACGAAAATAATTACCATTACCATCTATATCCATCAGCACTGAACAACGTCATCACCATCAACACTATCCAGGGTTCGTGCTACTCATTGGAATCCTTGAAAAGTCCTTGAATTTTGTAACGAAAATGTAGCACGAACCCTGACTATCAACATTATTATTACCATAATTACCATTACTATCGATATCCATCACCACTAAACAACGTCATCACCATCAACATCAACATCATTATCAACATAATTACCATTACTATCGATATCCATCACCAATAAACAATGTCATCACCATCACCATTATCAACATTACTATCACCATAATTACTATTACTATCGATATCACCATCACTGAACAACGTCATCACCATCACCATTATCAACATTACTATCACCATAATCACTATTACTATCGATATCACCATCACTGAACAACGTCATCACCATCACCATTATCAACATTATTATCACCATAATCACTATTACTATCGATATCACCATCACCACTGAACAACGTCATCAATCATCAAAATGAAGATCATGGTAATGATCACCATGTCATCACCGAAATCATCACCACCATGACCGTAGCACGCTGTAGCACACGTCGAAACGCCCCGTTCACATATATTTCATATTTTTACATTTTTTAGTATGTTTTTACGTTTTATACTGTCGCAGTGATTTATAAGTAAATTGTATCACCATAATAATCATAATCATCACCACCATCATTCACAGCGCCATCGAACATCATAACAAACATCATCAAAGCTATAATCATCTTCAACATATCATAGTTAACATTATGACCATCATCATCGTCGTAGTAGTATTAGTATTGCCAAGATATTACACTGATTAAGATTCCCGTTTTTCCTTCCCTCAAACGGCAAACCCGACAACATTTTCATCGTTTCCCTGTATTTCACTTAACCTTTCGTTTGCATTCGTTAATTTATCTACTACTTGAAAATTTGTTTGATTTCTTTTCACTAATTTTAAAGAGTTTTTCTCTTGTCAACTGAGGAATCTTAAACTCTCTTTTACATGCCACAAAATATCTTTCAGGTTCAAAAAAATGCACCCTAAAGAACAGCATAATCTTCGCAGCGTTTGATCTCTCTGAGACTGGTGGGAGTTATACGTTCTGCAACAGGAGTTGTGGAAGTGTGGAGTTCCTGAAAAACAAGGCAACTTATATTGGCAGCGGGAAAATAAAGCTAGCCATGGTGATGGACTGTATTGGTAGCTTTGATAAAAGTGACAAATCACAAGTTTTTTCGCAATCAATGGAGAAAAATTTTCATAATATCGTCCTTGAGGAAGCACTGACAGACTATTGGGGTGACTTCCTCGCCATTACTGGAAGAAGTGATGATGGAGTTTATCTGCAAGAATTTGAAAGGTTTTACAAAGCCAACAAAGTCCAGCATGATTTCAGAGTGCTCGCTTTCCAGTGGAACATCAAAGGTGTTCCAACTTCCCAGAACCGGTCAAACCTGATTAGCGGGTTTAAGGGCGGAGATCACATGAGGTATGAGGAATTAGACACATGTTACTAGGGGCTCTTTTGGTGTACAAGAGTTCATTGCCCAACATCTAGTGGGGTTTTCAATGATTGTTACGCTCAATTTGACACGAATGTACTCAAATTATCTTGCGTCGAATTTCTGGGAGCCATTGCTTATTCTTTCAAGCTAGAGACGCGCGTTCTTATAAGCTTTGGACTTTAGATCCAATTGGAATTTTAGAAGTTGTTTTATGCCGAAGAAAACTGCCGCGGGAGTGTTGGGAGGAAACCCTCGAAGCACAGGAGAGAACAGTGATGGTTCTAGGCATAGTTAATATTGCTATGTTCTAGGGGAAAGTGGAAGAGGATTGTATTGGGCTCCTTTTCCGTCAAACACCTAGATCCACCTCAGGCCCTGGAGAACCAACGAATGTATTGTGTTTTTATATTATCCGCTCTGAAGTTCGCACCCCAAAAAGTCTGTATTTGCACTGTAAGAGCTGTCGTCGCGTATTAATAAGAAACGGTAAACAAGGTTCCTTTTTTTCAGGAACGCCAATATGCTTCTTTGATCATTGAGATCACTTTTCCCAGCTAGCAGAGTCTCCCTCGTTTTCGATTCTTTGCAGAGAAAGGATCACTTAGAACATTTTTGTTTTTCAAAACTTATTTCTAATGTCATTGGTGTCGATCTTTAGTTTCTGGGATGCTGACATCAATACAATACTGTTGACTGATACATGTTACAATCGTGGCTACATGAAGGATACTTGCAAGGATGATAAGACTTGTGACACAATTAGCAAACTGTCTGCAACCCGTTATGAATTCATGTACTCGGCTGTGTATTCTGCTATGAGGGTCACCAAGAATCTGACTTGCACAGGTAAGCAACTGATAGTACAGCTATTTTTTCAAAAAAGGTTGGTGGAGGTTTCGTTGTATACCAAGCTTTGAATGTGATATAGTGAGGTGGCTTAATATCGTTACAGAGGTGGCAATATCGATACAGACTGAAAGAAAGCATGAAATGTGGCTCAGAGTTAACTTAGACCCTGTAGACCATATTTAGAAGAGGTGCCACGAAATCTGTTGTCAGAGGAGTAAAATCTCAGTTGTATTTCTGAATAGAAGCAACGAAGAATGCTAAAATGCAAATAACATTTGTACAATCCAAGACAAATTTACCCTCCCCCTCCCCTTGAAACCGAAATCACTGGCACCCCTTCTGAATTCGTTGAGTCCAGATCGTTGTGACCTTTTGTATTCACATCACCCATAGTGCAACAGTTCGGGCTTGGTATACAACAAGCTAACCAAGCAATTTCTAAGACTGATCTTTGTGATGTAATATCTGCATTGTTGGGTATTCCACCAACATTCCTCTTTTGAATTTCAGGCGCATGCGCAATGTGTTCTCCTTATGCGGACTGCAAGAACAATACCTGTATCTGTAGAACTGGTTTTACCGGAAATGGCGTCACTTGTACGGGTAAGACAAAGACACAAATGGTCTCTTGTGTATTTTCTTTGTGTAATGAATGTTCTGGTTGAGTGATAGCAACTATAAGTCACTAAATAGCTATTATTTCTCAATATTAACTTTGTTTTAATTTCATTGTTTTACTGCATGCGCTCTAGTCAGATAAAATGCTTTGAGGACATATTTTGACATGTTTTAACTTAACAGTTGCTATAGTTTCTTAATTAATTGCCCTACTGAGTCAATTCAAAAAAGTCACGTGATTGATAGTAAGCAATAGTCCTTGGTCACGAGGCAGTCACGTTGAATGTGATTCGATTGTGTCAATCAAGATCCTCATTTCTCTGCCAGTTTGTCAATCAAAAACATATGGTGTAGTGGTAGGGCACTTGTCTCTCAACTCGGTGCGCGTTTGCCAATTCTGAACTCGATATCACATGTGATCAGAGTCCTCTTCTTCCTCTTCTGAGAGGGTATTTTAGATTTTTTTTATCCAAATATTCCTTCCCAAGGCTGTTTCTTCAGCACGACCTAATCCAATCGACCGGTCGTATCTCTTCGACAGGTTAGTCTTTTATGACGAATGAAACGAGGCGACTTTTTTCTTATTTGTTTTTCCCCCAGCAATCCCGTGCGCTAGTTGCTCACCTTATGCTGTCTGCCAGAACGATGTGTGTGTCTGCAAAGCAGGTTATACCGGAGATGGCAACACGTGTAAAAGTAAGAGAATAATAACGTCATTATAGACTCTCGTCCTTCGTCACGCAACAGCCATGGCTGCCGCGTGAGAAAGGTCCATTTCCCTTCCTGTTTGCAAGTGTGTTATACGAATGAAATGAGGCGACTTTTTTCTTATTTGTTTTTCCCCC